GGTGAAAGATAGGGGTTTAGTTTCATTCTTCTACAGGTGGAGATCCAGTTTTTCCAGCACCATTTGCTGAACATGCTGTCTTTTCTCCAGTGAATGTTCTTGGCCCCTTTGTCAAATATCAGGTGGCTGAAATTGCATGTACTCATGTTTGGGTCTTCAATTTTGTTCCATTGATCTGTGGGTCTATTTTTGTGCCAGTACCATGTTGTTTTTATGACTATAGCTCTCTCTTTTGATTTTATATTGGAGTGGCCAAATTGCTTTCATCTTCAGGAGTTCCCACAGAGGCCCAAGTCAGATGAGGACCAGGTGCTCTTAGGCTTTCTCCTTAGGTCTGGATCCCTCCAGGAAAGATGCTGCCCTCAGCAATTTGGGGGCGGGGCTGGCCTGAGAGCAGGGCCCAGGAAAGATGCTGGTCTCAGGAAGCTGGTGGATGTGCCTCCAGGGATTTAAAGGGAGGTGGGAGTGGGAAGAGGCCCCAGGGCTCCTGGGGACTACTGGGAGGAACTGGGTTGGTTTGGATGCAAAGGATCAGGAAGAAGTGGGGATTCTGGTCCAAGAGGTCAGTCCACGGGTCTGGGGTGCCAAGACAAAAAAATGTGCCATTTCCCAGGCTAGGAGGAGAGATGAGGTGGGGCAGCTAGGAAGGTGAATGAGGCTAGGGGAGTCAAGTTGAGGTGAGTGCACTGGACTTACCCAGGAAAGATGCTGGCACCAGAAAGCCAGTGGTTGTGTAGCCCAGGGAAGCAAAGGGAGGTGGGGACAGGCCCAGGCCCAGAGGGATCCTGGGGACCACAGGGAGGAACTAGGTTGGTCTGGATGCAAAGGATCAGGAAGCAGTGGGTACTCTGGGCAGAGAGTTCAGTTCTGGTGTCTGGGGTGCCAAGGCAAGAAATGGGCCAGTACCCAGACTAGGAGGAGAGGCAGGGTGCAGGAGCTGGGAGGGTGAATGAGGCTGAGGGAGTCAAGGTGTGGTGGGTGACCCATGGGACCCACCCAGGAAAGATGCTAGCACCAGGAAGCTGGTGGCTGAGCCACCCAGGGAAGCAAAGGTAGGTGGGTCAGGAACAGGCCCAGAGGGCTCCTGGGGACCACAGATAGGAACTGGGTTGGTCTGAATGCAAAGGATCAGGAAGGAGTGGGTACTCTGGGCAGAGCCATCAGCCCTGGTGTCTGGGGTGCCAAGACAAGAAATAGGCCAGTACCAAGACCAAGAGGAGAGATGGGGTGGGGGAGCTAGGAGGGTGAATGAGGCTGGGGGAATCAAGTCGAGGTGGGTGCCGCTGGACTTACCCAGGAAAGATGCTGGCACCAGGAAACCATTGGCTGTGCTGGTTTTAAGTTCTTATGAAAACTTTTATTTACATATTTCTACCCACAAAATACACAAAGCATGTCAAAACGCTGGAATTATAGCAAGATGAAAATACATTTTGAAACTATAGATAAAGCTATAGATAAAACTATAAAATGGCAGCAAGTTGTTAAATTTATAGAAAGAAAGAGGACAGCTTCATAAGATCACTAGGTCACTCCTTTATGTGACCAGCATGTCTGAAAGAGGCTGGCTCACTTCTGACATTAAGTGTTTCATGAAAAAGAAATATTATTTATTCCATGACCTCTTTCTATGTGATATAAGGGCAGAATTTTTACTTTTGATTTTCCAGTGATAAGATTTTTGCTTCAAGGACTAGTTTGGCTTTACTTAAAAACTTCAACAGAGGATAGCAAAGTAACTTTCACTATAAAAATTTTAATTAATAGATATTTTGAGGACTAACTATCAAATGCAGTGTTAGAATACTGTTAAATATATGCAAATGTCACTTAAATGTTTTCTTTTTGTCTAGAGTATAACGCTTAGTAGGTTTTCTTTAAATAAGAAATCTTTTTTATTTTAGGTGTATGAATGTGTTGCCTGCATGTCTGTAAGGGCATCCTTGTTATGCAAGGCCCACGGAGGCCATAAGAAAGCATCGGATCCCCTGGAACTGGAGTTACTGACAGTTGTTAGCTGCCAGGTGGGTGCTGGGAATCAAACCGTGGTCTGCAAGAACAACCAGTGCTCTTAACTGCTGAGCCATCCTCCAGATCCTATCTAAATTATTTAGAAAATGCAAATATTCCTTAGATAAAACAGTTTCAGAGGGCAAAATAAAGGTTTAGAAAAGGTCAGAGGGGTATTCCTTTTATTTTTTCAAGTGGACTGGAAGCCAGTGAGAGATATATGTTAAACACTAAGTACGAACTGTGCACCAGGATGCACCTCAGACCTTCCTGATTTCCACCCCAATTCCCTACACATTTATAGGTCAATATTCTGTCAAGGGATCGCTGAGCGTAGATGGAGTCTGTGGTGATAAAGAGAAATTACGAAGAGCATTACATCAACTGCAGGGAAGACATCAATGGTGGCATTTGACATGTAATCAAATGACTCTACGGATTGTGAGTCGTCAGACTGAATTCTTTCTGCTGAAAACTGGGATGGCTGCAGATTGCTTAGACAGCCTTTATTTTAGGATTTATATAAGGATGATGTCACTGTGCATGGAGCCACTGTGGATAGTAGTGCCAAATTGTAGGGGTTTCTTGGAGGGGAACTTGAGTGATTACAGGAATATTTATATTCTACAAATTATTCATAGTATACAAGATTTTTAATGAATGATAATCTTACTTTCTACATATTTCATCAAAATGAATCACACCCAAACTTTTATAATTATTCTTCTTTTGTGTTTTGCTTTGTTAGGGTTGGAACCCAAGGCCCTGAGTGTGCTAGGCAAGTGTTTGGCCACTGACCTACAATCCCAACTCCCAAGAAAATAGTACTTTTACTGAAGAAATCAAATTATATTGCTTATTTAATTTTCATATAACCTCTAAGATACAGAAATACAAACAGGATCAAAACAAGGAAAAGTATGGAATGTATTATTTAATATGGTAAGGACTTTTCTTACCTCAAGAATCGGACACATAATTTCTGCTGTAACATCACCATGATCCTTACAGAATTTGTAGAATGCCTCAAGGTAAGACTTAATAAGAAGAGAGATTATAAACAATAAAGTGAATAACCTCTATTTTGGAAACTCTAGATCAGTCTGCCATAGCTTATTAAATGCTCTAATGGGAATTGAATTATTTCTCCCATAGGGAGAAATTTCATAATACATTTTAGTAGGAACTATGTTGCACAAACTGAAAAGAACTCCATAAAAGAACAAAATTGTGCTTATCATCACTTCTAATTATTAAGCAAGCATTTTTTTGCATTATTCTTGGACTATTTTACATAGTTAATTTCTACTGTTCTAACAATAGTACCAAGTTCTTTTCTGAGCTCAGAAAATGATTTAGCAACCCTGATATTTAATCTTGTAGAGACACATTGGCTTTGAGTGTGGGGATATATTGGAAAAGCAGAGTCTGGGTTGTAAGGTTAGATTGCCTGTGTTTGAATCCCAGCTCTAATACTCTACCAACTTAATCATAATTTGTTTCTGCCAAGGAAAGGAAGCCTTATCTTTCTCTATTCCTCCATTTTGTATGAGTGGAGATAGCACAAGTCTCATAGCCTTGCTACTTGATAAGTGAATTAAGGCCTATGAACTGCTTAGAACAGTATCATCTGTGAATTGTATCTTAGGAGTGCCTTCTCAGGGCCCATCTGTGTCTTCATAAAAATTAAAATTGTCCATCATACAATGCTTTTGAGAGGACTAAGTATTTGAGTATAACATGGTACTGATACAGCACAAAAGTATATATTCATGGATTCTGTGAAAATGTCCAGAGACCCTATGGTTGTATAAATGAAAATGGGTGGATTTGACTTAGTTTTTAACACACAGGCTGCTCTAATGGTAGCAGCACACTCCAGACAGATCATGCTCAGATCATGGTACATATGACAGCATCTACCAGTTGGGCATTTTGGCATAGCTTTAAAATTGCATGGGTAGGTTAACTGTAAGATTTAAAGCTCTGTAACAGGATTCACAGTATGATATGTTCACCCCACACATTTATCCATTCATCCATCTATCACCATCTAACCAACACTTTGTACTCTTGCCACTATACAGTATACAAAGAGCTAGGGATAAGGAAGGAAAGGGCATGCTAATTCCTCTAAAAAAATCTTGCTGTCAAGATGGGCATGGTGGCATGCACCTTTAATCCCAGCCCTGGGAAGGGTTTCTCTGAGATCGAGGCCAGCCTGTGCTACATAGAAAGCTTTAGGCCAGTTGGGGCTACAGGGTTACTTTCTCTCTCTCTCTCTCTCTCTCTCTCTCTCTCTCTCACACACACACACACACACACACAAAATATTTCTAAGAGAAATTGATGTGTATGCACATAATTAGAAAACAGGCCTAAACAATAAAAGCTATATTCTAAACATCCATAGCTTCATAATTGTAAAAGTTGGCAGATGGGCAAACTAACTTTATTAATAAAGAAATAAAATTATGTTATATTGTGCAATCAAGAAAAACATATTACCTTGTATAATTTATTGCGTAGTAATTCAATATTCAGTTCATCAAGAGTGTTTTCAGACATACAGTCTTGAAAGAATGGAGCTGAAGGCAAAAATAATCATACAAAATATATGAATCAAGAGCCAAACTATAAACTACAGGAAATGTTTGATGAGCTTACCACTCTAATAAGAACTTACCACCACTAATAAGAACTCTGTGGAGTTACAATCCACACACTTGGTAAGGCTAATATCAATCGGGATGACAGAACTTGTCACTTACTAAGCATTTTCTATGTGTGAACCCTGAACAATGATACACTTTAGGTTGCTTAATCTTCACAACAGCTTGGAAATCCTCACTTAAGGCTTACTTTTTGAAATCCCTTCTTTATACCTCACCACAACCCTGGTAGATAACAGCAATATTTGTCATCTGCAATGATGTATACCAGACATTGAGTTGTATTAAAACTATGTTTAATCCCATTTTTAAAACTATGACATAGTAAGATATGAAATAAGGAAATTGGAGCAAACTGAATTGCTCAAATCAACTTACTGAGGCCTGACAGAACCAGAACCTGGCTTCAGAGTCACAGTTGATCCCAGACTTACCTATGGAAGTGGTGGAAACCAGGCTGTATTACCGGAGCCTAGGACATTTAAGTGTAGCACAAGCATGCCCTTGCGTGTTAAAAATTTCTGTTTTAAAGGGTAACTGTTTTGGCCAGAAGTGCAGTTTGATGGCCAGAATATCTTTTCAGTTGCAAAATACTCTGGGTTTAACTTCATTCCCCAGACTAAAATAAAGGCTATTTGCACATGATCAACAATGAACTACTATCCAGATTTCCTAGAAGTAATAGACAAATAATGTTTTTAAAAAACTTCCTTTAGCATTTTGAAAAATAACATTGTCACAAGTGCTAAATTATAATGAAATTAACAGTCATTTCATAATTACTTTAGATCACTTGATAGGCACTCCTCTGCATCTCAGAAAAATGACGTTTCTAAGCTTCTTGAAACAAAATGCTCTTCAGATGTGACCTTCATCAGACAGAAGCTTTATATGAAAGGATAAGGAATTGCATAAAACTCAGAAAGAAAATAATATTTGGAGAACTTATAAATTTTATCATTTATTTGCTATGGCAGAAAATGCAACGGTTTGAAGTTTGGGAGATGAGCCTTTGCCCCTTCCTAATGTGGAGGGTTTGTATATGATTGTGATCAGATTTCTTCACTAGCCTGCACCTGAAAAATGAGAATGCAAGCTTAGATGATTCTTTTTTTTTGCATGTGTGGGGGGGCATGCATGTATGTATGCATGTATGTGAAGGTCAGGGTGCTATTCCTCAGAGCCTCTGCCTTGTTTTATGAGACAGGATCACTCTTATTGGCATGGAGCTTGCAAATAGGTGAAGCTGGCTATCATAGGGATCTCCTCCTAGCACCAGGAACACAAGCATAAACAACAATGACCAGCTTTTTCACATGGGCTCTGGGAATCAACTCAAGCCCTTGTGCTTTTAAGGCAAGTGCTTTACCAACTGAGCTATCTCCCCAGTCCTAGACGACTCTTTTGTTATTTTGGGTTTTTTTTTTTTTTTTGGAAACAGAGTCTCATTATGTAGCCCAGATTGGTTTCAAACTCACTATTGGCCTCAAACTTGTCAACCTGCAGCCTCTGCTTCCAGATGCTAGTATAACAGATGTGCCACTGTGCCCAGCTTAGATGATTCTTTAATGTCTCACTCACACTATGAATTTATATATGAAACTACATCATTAAAAAATGTTGCACACTGGGGGTACATTTTCTAGTGAGTATGCAAATGAACACAGGTCATTTTATACCTAAGAGTCAATACCTAATGGTGTTTCAACCAGCACAGCATTGAAGAGATCCGAGGTGGTCTCTGCAATATTGACTGCTTCCATCTCTGTGAACCGGCCCAAAGGGTGGCACTTCGCCAGAACTTCTTTCACGGATTTCTTTTGTAGTGCCCCATTCATCAGTAGAACCACATTGTCTATCATATAGCTGCACCTGGTTTAGAATAATACTTGAGTGTTAGGGAAACAACTGCATAGACAAGAAACATCCAAAAAGTGATAAATATAGTCCAGGCATAAACTCTTTTGTTTTAAAAAATGCATGTCTTTATATATTTTAAACTCCGAGGTTTAGGAGATGGGATGGAGAAAATAATGCAGAAGAGCTCATTGAAAACCCACATTCAACTACAGAAAGCTAAATAGAATGTTGGCTGGTGCCACATGCAGAAGATGGTCCCCAGTAATTGTTACATGTGGCAGTTGTGGGTGACAGTATGAAATTTATCAGAGTAGACTCTGGTCTTGACTGCTGAAGAACATGGACCTAGAGTTTCAGTCTACTTTAAAACTATTTGAACCCACAGTGAAGCCCATGGGTGAGGATCCTAAACTTATGCTGAAAATACGCTGTATTCCTTCCATTCTTTGACATCAGATACTAAGTTTCTAGCTTATGCACTACCATATGCCCAAGAGTCCTGAAGTTGACTCCTTATGCGATATCTTTCTCAGTATTAGCTCTGCTCACTCATGTTCTCAGCATTTAGGATATGGCAAGAAATGAAGCCAGAGGTGGATATCCACTCCTTTCCTTCACAGAGAAAAGCAATTTGAAAGAGGACTTGACAAAAGAGCCATTTATAGTAAGTTACAATGACACGTATGTGCTATGGGAAAGAAATAACAGGGTGATGTTGGGGATTTGTAGCTGGGCCCTGAGGAAGTCCATGGGTCAGACTTCTTGAAAAGTGACATTCAAGCTGAAACTTGCACAATGAGTAGAAGTCCAAGCATAAGGGGCTGAGAACTGGGGGTGGGGAAGAGTGTTTCAAGGCAAAGGAAGAGCGTTTAAAATCCCTAGAGATGACAGCACAAGGATATTCAGGATATGTCCTTTGCCTAGGATGGCACATGGGAGTATGGCTGCCCATGCTAGATCCTGAAATTGGAGAGAACTCAGTGTTAAGGACAATACTGAATGCTCCTAAATGGAAGGGAGTATTATGTTCTATGTGTTTAGAATTAAAATGGAAGAAGAGGTAAATACACACCTACAGATTGTGGTGCTTTAAAAAGCTGTCTTGACTGATCTGAAACCACTTCCTCTGAAGGCTAGCTCTCATAGCTTTGGCGAGCGCTATGAAAGTGCCAAGGGAAAACATCAAGGGATGATACAAAACCAGCTTCAAGACCAAATAACCACATCAATGGCCAGCACAGCAACTGTCATTGGTACAGTCGTGGCACTTTCATCTTGGGGACAATCAACAGCTACCTAATTGGACTAAAAGCCCACTCAATGGGGGGAAATTCAAGTGTGGTACTGTAAACATAACCAAATACACATGACTGGAGCAGTCATAGATCTTAGAGAAAACCCCAAGACTGTCACATTGTTAGACTAATGTGATTTCTTACTATGTGAAAAATATGTATCCTTATATTTACAGACAAATATCCCAGTTACCACTCATCAAAGAGGCTCATTTTGCAGCAGTCAGAGACTAATAGCAAGTACCACAACTGGTCACACATGGACATTGTCTCTGAATTGCCCAGGCCTAAGGGACACATCTACAATGCAACCTCTAAACCTAAGGCTCATGGAACATAGAACAGGGGTAAAGAAGAGGACACTAATGAATCTCTCAGTCCTCAATAATGAAGCTCCTTTATGCAGCAGAGGGCCAGGAACACAAAAGATCACAAATGGCCAAAGTGTAGAAATCAAGAGTCTGATGAATGATGGTCCTTGGACAGGACTCCTTTATTAAACTTCACCCATCCAAGACTCAGGGACCATTGAAGAAGAGGGGGCAGGAAGAGCCTAAGAGCCAGGGAGGAGGTGAATGACCATATGGAAACAGAGTTCTACAAGTTCCTGGGACCCTGCTCATATGATTCTATGACAATGGTGTAAGCATATGCAAGTCCCATGCAAACTCAGGCAGACAGTAACTCAGCATAGAATGGGAGAAGTAAACAGCAGACCCCAATTTTATCTGAAGAAATATTGTCAACTGATTGCTGCTAGGTGAAGAAGAGCTGATCTTCCTAAAACAAGGGACTCTATATAGGTTGACTAGATCTCAGTGGATGGGCTTGCACTGGGGAATGGCTGGGAACACTGACAACACAGTGGGCCTTAACAGGGATGACAGAGTATATGGGTTCTGCTATGGGAGGGTGCCAATGGGGACAGGGGTATAAAAATGATGAAGATTGTTTGAGATGTTCTGTAGGAAATGAAATACACAAAAAGTCAATAAAAACCAATTTTTCAAAAAAGCTGTCTTACTTGATCTTGATAAGATCGCTGTAAGGTTGTCTCTATTAGCGTTTCCATTTTATATATGAGGAACCAGAGACCCAGAAAGATACAAATGTAGCCCATGACAAGAACCATAGCTAACAAATAGAACAGTCCAGAATCAAACTCAGGCCATTGGTTTCTATAACAGCATTTTTTTTTTAACCATTCTGCTTTTAGTTGTTGAGGACCATGGGTAAACTGGGGGGAGGGGGCTCTTGATGAAGAGGAGAGCATTCGGGGAGGGGGAGGAAGTTGCAGTGATTGAAGATATTTTAGAGAGAATGACTTTAAGGTGTTCAAGAGATGCCTGAGAGGAGATGCTAGGAAGCCTCAGAAGTGCACCCTGAAGATAGCTAGAGGCATCTAGGGGTGGGGTGGGAGAGCAGAGCAGACAGTTTAAAGGTAGAAGCCAAAGTCTTGGAAATAATTAGGCTCACATCCTAAAATGTATGCTAAGTGTTCCTTCCTTAGACTCGTAGGAGGAACTGTAACATTTAAGGGCTGAAGGAAATGGAGAGGAATGGCCAGGTGGTGGGAGAACACGGGAGTGAAGGTTCTAAGGAGCCAGAGTGTCAAAGGCTACAAGCACAGCAAGTAGACACTTACATAGATCCATAGTCCGTAGCAACTAAGACCATCTGAGACAGTGAAATGCTCAGAAGAGTGTGTTTGTGGGAGAGAAAAGGGGAAGGAAGGCAGGAGGAGGAGAAGGGGAAGGGAGAGGAGGAGGGGAAGGGGAGGAGAAGAGAAGAGAGATCATACTATAATGATCATGACCTTGAAGGGGAAAGGGCTATGCAAGAATAGAGAGCCCAAGGAAGGCTTTGATTTTTAATTTTAGCATTTGTTTTTAGGTCAGAGAGAAGGGATGGTGTATCAGTGTCCAGGAGAAAGAAGCTGTGGAGAAAGTGAGGTGGCAGATTGGAGGATGGAAGGGGCAGTCCTCTGCTGAATGAACTGAGGTCCTCTAGCTTAACCACCACCACAATACAGACTTGAAAACTGATACCTTGCATCTGGTTACACTGAACCAGGACACTCAAACTGCTGATGCTGGAGCCCTTCTGCATGGGGTACAAGCTTCCTGAGTAAGAATTCATTTCCAGGTGGAAAAGCGAATCTACAGTCTATCCTAATAAGAATTTTAACTAGAGTTCTTGAAGCAATTATTTCTTTATAAAAAGCCCTTGACTATAAAGTTTCTTTACCTCCCAAATGGCATTACCAAATTTAGACATTATAAAATTTTGGAATCCATTTTATCTGTTGAAAATGATATTAGCACGGGAGTGTTTATTTAACTGTCCCTTTATAGCTCAAAGGCAATTACCTGACAGAGGAGTTGCCAGCGCTTAATAAGCATTGCTAGGCTGTCGGCATTTAATGTTCCCCACAGCACCTCTGTGATGTAAAAACATATGTACGGCTAGCATTCCCAGTTCACAAGTAATGTCAATGCTCTGAGTAGGATTTTGCCCACATGTAGCAGCTGGCATGGGGTGTGGATGAATGTGTATTGAGTGTGCTTATGCTTTTACTCATAGAGAAGTTGGCTTTATATTACAAAGAGTTAGAGTTGTACATAATTGGGTTTCATTTTATTTCTACTCATTCTTTGAGTGACCTTGTTTTTAAAATGGGACACTAACACTGGGTCTCATGAAGGGTTAGAGGAAATCTCTTTCCTGTTCTCTCCTTTTCCCTGTCACATATGCACCAGGTACCTCATTTCCTTTGGCTGCTAGAGGAGGGAGATGATGTATTTAGATAAGAGCTTTCTTTCTCCAGCTTTAATCTGTATAAACCTCTAGGGCCATGCATGTGCTGGCTAGCTTCAAAACACCTGGTTAGTAACTTATTTCAAACCCTCTTGCTTTAGATAACTTTGTTCATAGGTAATGACAGGGCCAGGATAAGTACTTATTCAACCCAGGATAAACTTTTACTTCTACTCCTGGTGTACACAAACATCCTTATTTTCAGAAAGCCCCTTCCTAAATATTTTAGCACATGCCTCTGATACTGGAACCTGTGAAAATCATGAAGTCACCTAAAACCATCATAGAGTTAGTCAATTTCAAAAATATTTTAAGTTGTAAAAAATATATTTTTTGGCTAGGCATAGTGCAGACCTCTATGGCAGCACTTGGGAGGCTGAGGCAGGAGGATCACAAATTTGAGGCCACCTTAAATCACATAGGGAGACCCTGCTTCAAAAGTTAGAAGTAAATGTTAATTATCTAGGAGTTTATTTGTGGCAGTCCCTATGCATGTTCTCACTCAAGCCTCTCAACAGTTCTCTGCCAAGACGTTGCAGATCAGGGCACCAAGGGCAATGAAACACCTGACCTCAGACTACTGTGCTCTAATCTGCCAGCCATGGAGTGAGAGTTGCCTCGCTGTAAAGCCTGTTTACATTTAGGTATCCACTGCTTTCTCAGGCTGTGTAAAATGCCTATTCAGCACTAAGAGAGGGGGTAAATAAATAGCCACCTTCAAAACTCTGTTCCTCTACCTCCAGGTTCAGATAAAATTGCTTAAGCCAGACAAAACATTTAGTGTTTCCTTTTGGTCTTAGATTTATTCTCTTTCCTCTTAGTCTTTAGTTTGTTTAAGGATCTTGAAAATAACTAAAACATATTTCTGTATGATAATGACCAAATTCTGGGTTGATAGAA